GACAAAACTAATTACAACAGAGCTGAAGCACAGCTCACAGCACTCACTCTTCAATCTGCATTCAAAAAGAAAAATCCAACCCCAAAACCACTCCATCAAAAAAAGGTGAAAAACAAGGAGTGGAAAAAAAGCACTTTTGAAATAGAAGGGGCCCTTCAGCATGGCACAGACTGGTTTTTGGAAGGAGAAACCTTCAGGTGATGCTTGGCAAACAGGACACAGGGATTTGTCCAGGAATGATGCCAGTGTGGAGAAGAAATGAGCTCGCAGCTCCTCCTCAGTGGGGTCCATTCCATGCTCACCTCACATCCAGGTGAGTTTTGGGTGGGATGTTTTTTAGCTGCCAGAAGAACAGGAGCACGGTGTTGATAGTGCCAAGGTCTGGGGTTAGATCTCCAGAAGCTGGACTCCATGACCCTTGGGGGTCCCTTCCAACTCAGAATATCCTGGGATCTTTGTGGAGCTCAACTTGCACACTTGTGACTGAACAGCTTCTCCTTCCACAGTGAAGACAGAGCATCCCAAAAATGAGGCTATCTCTATTTCCTGATCCTCACAGCCATCCCTGCCTGACGCAGAACACTTTAGGAATATTCGCACCACAGAGAATCTAAAGCTTCCTCTAAAGGCCATTTAATCCCTGGCCATGGTCCAGGCTGGCAAGGGGCAGTGACAGGTTCTGTGAGAGGCAATTCCTGATGCCAGAGCTGCATGTCCCATGGGCCTGCCTCCTGTTCCCTTTGGATACCAGCTGGGAAATCCAGCAGACAGCTAAAGGGAATTTTAATCTCTGCTTAACACAGAGACAGGCTGGAAAATGGATTGCAGAGAGAAAACCTGAAATGGCAAGGGCAGGAGGAATGGGGCTGGGCTGTGGATGGATGTGGCAGACACCACCTCAGGCCTCATTCCTAGGGGACGTGGGCCACACTCAGGATTGGAAAGCCTCCACGAGCCATTTCCAACACACAAAGCTGCCACTGGCTGCAGCACGTGTTTCATTCCAAAGGATTCCTGGGAACAGGCACGAGGCCATGGCAGAATGTTGTTTTTCTCCCTGGATCCTTAAGGAGGTTCAGTCTGAAGCCTCGATCCTGGAACCCCATTCCTGAGTCTCCATGGCCACTGCACAGCCCTCAGCCCAACACTGTTTAGCACAAAGGTTTTTCCTGCCAGAGAATCATTCAGGAAAATCCTTTCAGATCACAGAGCCCAATAATTCCCCCAGCACTGCCAGGGCCACCACCAACCCATGTCCCCAAGTGCCACATCCACATGGCTTTAAAGGGACGGGGACTCACCACTGCTCTGAGTAGCTGTGACAATGCCTGAAAATCCTTTCAGTGAAGATTTTTTCCCTCATATCCAATCTGAACCTCCCCTGGCACAACTTGAGGTCATTTCCTCCTGTCCTCTGATTCTATTCCAGGATTCTTCACATTTCCAGCCTGGAGAGGAGAAGGCTGGGGGCAACTCTTCAATATGCAGCAACAGTGGAAGGGAGGGTGCCACGAGGATGGGGCCAGGCTTTTCTCAGCAGTGCCAGCATCCCAGGAGATGCACAGGTACCTGTCAGACCCACTCTCCCCCTCCTCCTTGTGCTGTTCCACCAGGCAGAGGGATTTCCCACCTCTCCATTCTGGTATCACTGCAGTGCTCTCTTTCATTTTCTGGCTGAAATGACCTGCAATGCAGAGGCTCACTTGCTGCACTGATCCTGCTGCCAGATCTGTAATCCTCAATCCCCTTGGGGAACGCCTGGAGTAGGAAAACACTTGGCATGGCAAGCACGTCAGCATTTTCCTGGCTGCATTTTTTTTATTGTCTCTTTGCTGCATCCCTGACTTCAGTTAAGTTTTCTTCTCTTTCATCCCTCACTTTCTCCAGCCTCCCCCAGTGCCTTGAACTGAGGTCTCAACATCCCTGAGCTCCCCTCTCTTTGACACATCTGTCCAGGTGTGGGGGGACAGCACATTTACTCCCATCCTTCCCAAGATTTTCATGTGGGGCAACAGATCTGCAAATGGAAAAATGTGGGGCGACAGAACTCTTCTCTTGGCAGAGGCATCCCCTCCTTCCTGGGAGGCTCCAAAGGCTCATTGAGGTAGATTCCCTGCTAATTCTGCCCCTGCCATACTGAGATTTACAAGTTATTAATTATAGGGACCTTGCTGGAAAGCAGTGCAAGCTGCAGAGCAGCCAGACTTCCAAGAAGCAGAAGATGCTTTATTTAGAGAAGACGGTGCAGTTTTTGCTTTCTTTTTTTAATTGCTATCAGCAGTGAGAGACATTTGTGCTATAAGGGAAAGAGAACTCGCCCACTTGCTTTGGTTCATTTTAATATTCCCATAAAACAAACAAAAAGAAATCCTGGCACAATTTTGGGAGTAAACATAGAAAAGGAAAATTGGCTGTGCTGGTGGATTTGAGGATTAAAATAATTTTTAAGTCATAGAGGTGATGAAAAGCAAAAAGCAAGAAGTGAAATAAAAGGACAGAGCTGTCAAAGCAGCAAGGCAGGACAATAATTTTTAGAGGAGCACCATGAACGCATATAAGAAGCAGGAAAGATGGGATTTCTCAAAGGAAGACGCTGCAGGAGCTCAGGGGAAAAAGTGGAGGATTGTGCAACAGCTCAGTGGGGAGAGTGAAGTGCAAAAAGATCCAGCCCAACCTTACAGCAAAGTGCTGTGTTCCATGAGGGAAAGAGCGTCTCCAAAACCAGAGAGCATGTGGAAATTATGGATCATCCTGTAGGAAACTGGGATTAGCCCAGCAAGGAGGTGGTCACTGACAGGCAGCTTCTGAGTGCAGTGAGAAAATGCAACGTGGAAAGGCAGCCCACAGAGGGGATCCCAGAGCTGGACAGGCTTGGGCTGCACTGGGAATGCTTCTGGCACAATTAGGCAAATCAAGCCTATTAAGGGACAATCACTCTGAAGGGTTGTTATCAATCACTCCCCTTTGCTTTCTTTAGGCAATTATCTTAATTGCATCAAGGCTATTAAGCAATTATTTTGATAACTGGAGCTTTTTTGCCGGCTCTTCGTTTTTTGGCAATGTTTTGTTCTTTGTAGAAATGCCCCTTCCAAAAGATGTTTAAAGCTGACTTTAAGGATGTCCTTTTTCCGAAGCACAAGATTCAAATTTCTGTGTAAAAGCACCAAGTTCCTCTCAAGAAAATGCTGATTTTTATCCCTGGGTTTTTCCTCAAAACACTCCCCCACCCAAATCTCCCAGGGCACCAGGGACTTAATTCCACTTTTTTATTATTCAACTTTTTATACATAATAAATACAAACTTTTTACAGCCAATATAAAGAAAGCATTTGCACTGATGCTTTCAGGGTGTACTGAGCTGTACACGATGCGACGGCCGATACATGCCCTGTATGAAGAAATCATAGTTAAAAAGGAGGCATCTTTTTACAACTTTTCTTCCTTTTTCTTTTTTTTTCTTTTTTTTTTCACTTTTGTTTTTTAAATAAAATTAGCAGCTCTTACAGAAAATATTTTAAAATACAACTAAAGAGACTTTTAAATAAAAATTTTCTGGATTTTTGAAAGTCCAAGTGTGAAGGACACAGACAAACTGGCCAAAAGAATTGAACATGAACATTATGGCAAAAACTTGGTTTTCTTCTGCGTTGTAAAGATCTCAAAATATTTGCAAACAGTTAAATTTTTTTTTTAAACTTTTCTTTTTAAACTTAAGAATAAGTTTGATAAACACATAAAAAGACCTCAAACAGATCAACAGGACAAGAGGTGCAAAAGAAGGAATAAAATATGGAAAAGACTTCATTGGACAGTCACTGATTCCACAACTGATCCATGAATTGTTGCCCTTAGACAGCCCCACTCTTAGTTAAGGATCCCACTGGGAAAGGAGACTGGCAAACTGAATGCCTTGGAAACCCAGCCTGGGTTGGGATTTCCAAGTATGTGCAAAGTTTATGATAAAATCTTGTTAGATGAGTCGTTGGATTTTTCTTGTAAATGCAGCCTCAAAAAATAGCCCTTGTTAGTAAACTAAAGGTTGAAAACTTACTGGCTTTGAGAGAAAAACCATGAAGACACAAGAGAACCCACAAACAGCTCCGAACCCAACCTCAGCCTTTGATCTGAAGTTTTCATCTGATGGAGAATGCTGACAATATTTTAGTCAGTACCCAAAGAAAAACTGCTTTCATCCAGTTTTTCCCTCTCCATTCCGCTCCACATTCAACTTCAGAATATTCTTTGCCCTTTTCTCTCAAAAAAATGAAATCCAAGCTCCCTTTTCAGAGCTCTCTGAGGGAAATGTGAAACTCTTTTCCTTTCAGTTTCTTCCCTGAGAGGAATTGGGCACATCTCGGGCATGAAGGCGGTGCGAAGGCAGAACCCAGAGCTGCTCTGGGCTCCCTGGCTTTGGCTGGTTAATGGGATTGGGGTGGGAAAAGGCTACAGGGCCATCCAATGCAACAACTAAATGCATGTAAATACTCTAAATGGAACTGCTAGCTCTAGAATTCAGGTGGTTTGATGACAAAGATACACTGCTAACATTGGATAATAAAGTACACAGCAATAATTGGGATAAGAGTGATCCAAATGCTTTAAAAAAATAAAACAAGCCCAACAAAAAAAAAAAAACAAAATCCCCA